GATATGGTGATACAGTGTTTATTCCAGAGATCACAGAAAAACAGAAATTAAAAGTATTTTCCTGCTTTTAACAGATATTTTTCTCATCAGAAATTTGATTGCACGTATAAACTCTGAAAAGAAAAATGTTCCTCTTAGAGCATCCCCTCTGTCCAATTCAGGTTTGCTGGGGGGCTGATAGGTAACCTAAAAACTAAATTCATTTAGAGAGGAGAAGACAAATTAACGGCCCCCGGCCCTTATGTTGGGCCCCTCCTCCTGTATTTTTAGCCTTCTGCCAGGAGCCTGTTCCTTCCTGGGCGTTTCCTCCTCTGCTCGGTCTAACACAGGATGTCCAGCCTGTTCAGCACACTCCAGCGGCTCCAGGGGGACAAACAGACCCAAACACACCATCAGTCTTACTTTGTTCAAACCGGCGCTGGCAGATACTGAAGCTGGAATGAATTACACTCTATTGTTTCTGTGCTGTCGCTCAGTGAATCACACACACTTGTATTGTTTTCTTACTCAAACTCCAGGACCCAGAGACCACTTTATCTGATTTAAAAGACACGTGTAAGGACCACCGGGAAACGTGCTTTACATCAATAATTTAACCCTCCCGAGCAACTGTCTGTTTTCAGAGTGGAGATCAGTAAAGAGTCATTCACTGGGAATTATTATATTTTATCAGGTCATCTGTTTAGGAAACATTTACTGCAGATTAATAACTTTATAACATCTATTTATTTTAGGACAGTTTTCAAATATTTTTACCTGAATTGATTGGCACAGCCCACATACTCACAAATGCATTTAAAACTTTTAAGATTTAATAAAATGTGACTACTTCTGACTACATAATTACAAAATAAAATAAAAACAATATGCAGACCTTTTTTTTTTAATACAAAAGGTAAGTGCTGTGAAAAATTCACAAAAAGTAAAAAATATTTAAAAAAAAAACCCCAAACAGGATTAAAAGCACTGAAGTGTAATCGATGTAAACAGACATTAAAGTAAAGATTTATTCCTTTATTAATAATTAATGTGGCACTATATTTTGATTAACAATAATAATATTAATAATAATAATAATGATAAATAACAATTTAACCATGACTATTCAGATTTTCCCTCTCAGAGACATTGAATATCTTTGTTCAAACCTAAAACATTCAACTGGAATTATTTGCTATAGCCATTAATTTTATTTTATTTGTGAAAAATGCTGCTCTAGATGTAAATTAGTTGTTAAAGGGGTGATGCTGTCATTTATAATTATAATACATTTACTGTGGAAGTTTCTGTTTGCCATTGGATGTTTGTTTTTTTTACTTGTTAATTAAAACAGGCATTCACTATCGAGCAGTTACTGATGTGGTTTAGTAACCGTGGATTAAAGATGTGAGTAGCATTCTCTTCCACCAGTGGGCAGTACAATTACCTGCTCTAATTAAATGGGTTGCCAACTGCCAGTAAAACAGAAGAAGACAAAGAAAACAAATACATAATAGTCATGCTGTGAGACGACGCAGTGCGTAATAGCAATAGATAAATGTTTGAAAAGAAAAAGTAGGGTCCTGGAGAACATTCTGACCCAGATGAAGGCCCTAGCATGAGTAGTGCTAGTAGTGCATGGGTAGTGGTCAGAAGCAAGCAACAAAGGTATACTAGGGACAAACTGAGCCAAACTCCACTATGCCATGTGCACAGGGGAAAATTATCAATTTGCTTTTTGTGACATTTTTGTTTGGTGGTGTGCCGTGTGATTTTTCTAATGTGAAATATGTGCCGTGGCTCCAAAAGGTTGGGAAACACTGGTTTAGATATACGTGCTTCACCACTTAAATTCTTGTACAGCCACTTTTCAGGTAGGTTTCAGGAACTGGACAATGGAAAAATCTGTGGAAATCTGTTGTTTTTTTTTAACATTATAGGTTTCCTACTTTAAATCACTACATTGTAAGGTTTGTGATAAACAGAACCAGGACTGTTAGTATTCCCCAGTCTGTCACTTATCTTGGAGGCTTGAGGGTTAAATCTGATGGGTTTCTACTGCAGAAACAGGAAAGAAAGTTGCACAAGATTGTAATGTTTCCTTGTCCAAATGTGCACGTTGATTGAAATATGCACATATGTGGAGTACCATTTACTGTATTCTTCATGTTTTTTTTATTAGTTTTAGGAGATGTTAATAATTGATCGATGTTTTCAAATCTTTACCATTCAAAAAGAGTGTTCCCATCTATAAATGCTTCACCACATCCCTGTAAGGTTTAAAGACGCAGTCGATGTGTCACAGTACAGATCGAACGAGGCTGATTTGAGTTCCTCCCTAGGTGTCTACGAACAAAGCCTCCCAATAACAGACAATAGAGCTTAGTCACAGGGAGCAGCTTCTGTTAGCAGACTGTGAGGTGTTGGAGGCCAACGCTGATGCTCTGACTCTGATACCGGTCATAGCTTTTAAAGGAAACAATGAAAACACTTCTGTGAATGATGCAATCTTTTTCTGATGTCTTGTTGCTTTCAGCTGAGACGGGACGTCTGTGTTTATTTAAAGCTACTTTTCTTGGAACTTCGATGTACCGTGATTATAACAAGGGTCCTAATGTACCCAAATCAGATCAGCCAAGCTGATGTATAAACATATATAGCTCATTAACATGCTTTAGTAAACGATGGATGTCCCAGCTCTTTGTTAAGCACTGGAAAAGCTTGATGAAGATCCTCTCTGTAACATCAAGTGAAGCAGTACAATTAAAAGAAACTTTTTCATAAAAGTGAGAGTGGAGTAGAGGAGGAGATGGACCGATGTGTTGACCCCAGTGCAGTGTCTTCATCTGCAGTGATGAAGACACTGCACTGATCTGTTTTGGTGACGAAAGAGCTGATTGTGAAGGTTAAGCTGTTGATTTACTGGATGATTTACTATATTCCTATCCGCATGTATGGTATGGTGATAAGATGTAGGTAGACACTAATGTCACAGACTCAAGCATCAGAAAGAATAAGCTTCCTCTGAACAGAGTTCAGCCTTAGACAGGAGGAGGTAGCTCTTTGTTTTAGGAGGGGCTCAGAGTAGAGCTGCTACTCCTCCACATTAAAAAGAGCCAGATATGGTGGTTTGAGAATCAGATGGATTCTTTCAGGATAAATCCTCACTGAGGTGTTTTAGGCATGTCCACACAGGACACTCTGGAGAGATTATGTCTCTGCTCAGTACCCATCTGAAAGAGCTGGAGTAGATGGCTCGGGAGAAGGTCTGGGTGTCTGTGCTTAGACTGGACATGGATACGTGACAGAAGAAAAGATGGATGGATGTCCCTGAAAGTCTTCTCATTACTCATTATGTGGTTTCAATATGGCAAAGCAAATTATATTATTTGTAAAACACAGTAATCTTGTGGTGAATGGATGGACGGGCCTCACCTGTCCCCTCTGTTTGGACTCTGGAACAACTAAAACCTTACTGTGAACCCGTATGACTCATTAAACCGACTGGATAGAAACTAGTGGAAGGCTGGATCTGACCGTGACTTATGATGAAAAACAAGGAAAAAGCAAAAGCGAAATCTCCACATTTAAAAAGGTTGGAAGGACAAATTGATTTGAGTTACTGATTTAAAATAAAATTCAGTAAATAAAAAAAGAAATACATAAAATCTTGCTTTAACAAATAAAAAAATCAAGTGTTTCTTTGTCCCCACAGTGGGGCTGAATAAACACATTGACTCATTGAATTTAAAACCAGGACACAGCTTTGGCTGCAGGCCTCTGTTTATTAATTATACTTCGGACTGGCATTGACTGATGAGGACTTCCCACAACCACCAGCAGTTCCAGTCAGGGATTTCATAATTTACGTTTGTCCAGATTATCGAAATACATAATAATAAACTGAGTAAAGATAATGTGAGTAATAATATACATATTAACCTTATACAATTTACATTATCATTTCTTTCACATTAAAGGTAGATTTACTTTTTCTGGCATAAAACATTTTCAGGGAATGACACATTTTAAATACACACAAGAAAAACAATATACATTTTCTTAAGTGCATTTACAAAATGTCTTATCTGTAGGATTCATATTATCTTTTCATATTTTTAAATCTTCTACCAGCTCTTTTGACACAATGTGTCTGTGGCACTGAGACAATTGGTTCAATATCCGAATATCTAGACTTTAATTTTTTAGGAGGAAATGGGGTATTAGTTTGGGTTTTTCTTTAAATAACTGTGTACAAATGTGGCTTATTAATTTGTTTTAATTTATGGGCCACAGTAGAGCTCTATGACACAAAGGAATCAAATATATCAGGGTGTGGATGCACACAGTACTTATGAGGATGACTTCATCATTGTTGTTTGTCATTTCTTGGGATTTGTTGACAATGGAAACTGTATACACACACACACACACACACACACACATATATACATATACACACACACACACACACACACAAAAAATACAAAAATAAAATAAATTACTTTACCTTCTCTCCATCCATGAACCTCTGCTTCTCAGTGAGATTGAGTATTTCCACAGGGACGTCCAGCTCAGAGCGAGATTCATAAGTGATG